TGATTGATGAGTTTTCGTGTTTTTTGTCGTCAACGACTAAGTGATGAAGCTGCTAGTGCTGCTGCTGCTGCTGCTGCTGCTGCTGCTGCTACGGTTGCTGTCGCCAATGATGATGATGATGATGATGACTATACTAATAATGATGTTTAGAGGTTTAGAAAAAAATTATGTTGAAGAGGAACATTTAAGAAAAATTAAATAACCGTCATTATCATCATCAATATTTCATCATCATCCTCGTCATCATCATCAGCATTCATCATCATTTTCAGGTAAACGGATGTGACGTAAAGACACGTGACGAAGTGGTTCGTTCCTTTGCCGGAAGTTCAAACCACGTGAGGCTCCTATTGGCCAGACCTATTGTCCAGGTGATCCTGGTGATGATGATGATGATAAAATGGATGGTGATGGTGATGTTAAAATGGATAAATGATGATACTGGCGACGACGACGATGACGTCATGTTTCAAACTAACGTAATAAGACATTTAATTTGCAATAGTTTGTTATAACCAGCCAGTCACAGAGTACCATCCCCATAATGAATGATTTTAGCGTCTCATTCATTTCACTATTACTAACAAATCACTAAAAAGTACCATTTCGTCACTCACTAAATTACTCCTACTATCAATAGTATAGTATTTTCAAGTAATACTGCTACTTCTACTACTATTACTAATACTACTATTACTACTATTTCTTCTGCTGCTACTACTACTACTATTTCTTCTGCTGCTACTACTACTACTACTTTGTATTTCTGGACAAGATTAATATCAGTGCAAAGCAATATTTGTTTGTTGATTAAAATCAACCCGTCCATCAACTTTGAAGGGAAGATGAGAAAAAAAAACAGAAAAATGAATAAAAATCAATTTTTCGTTATTTTATTATTCATATTGTCGTTGTTGTTGTTGTTTGTTGTTGTGTTGTTACTGATGTTATAATTTACTTTTTCTTTCATTTATTTCTATTATACGCTGTCGTCATCAAGATCATCTTCATCATCATCTTCATCATCTTCTTCTTCTTCATCATCACCTTCTTTTTTATCTTCATATTCCTCTTCTTTTTCTTCTTCCACCTTTTCATCTCCATCATCATCATCTTCTTCTTTATTATCATCTTCTTCTTCTTCTTCATCTTCTTCTTCTTTTCTTCCATCTCTTTGTCATCATTATCATCAGACTGACCGCCATGCTGGTGACCATAAATACAAACAACCGCAATAAAACGACTGACCACTGCTCCGACTGCAAATGTCATAAAATATCAGAAACCCTCCCATCTCCATCATCTCTCTTTCTCTCTCTCTCTCTCTCTCTCTCTCTCTATTTCTCTCTCTCTATTTCTTTCTTTTTCTATTTCTTTTTTTTTTCATCTTTCATCTTCATCATCACAATCTCGTTTTTTCCTTCGTTGCAATCATCATTTCTTTCCTTGTCATTTCATTGTCATCAATTTATCATAATTTTTTGGTTAAATATTCCAATGGCATTAAATGACTAGTATGATTGCTATAAATTATATTATTGCTATAATGACTGAAATGGTGATGTCATTGATGATGATGACGAAGATGATGATGATGACGAAGATGATGATGATGATGACGATGATGTCATTGATGATGATGACGACGATGATGACGGCGACTAGGATGGTAGATATCATTGCAAGCGCGTCAAAAATTAAAACGTCATATCCAGACATTTATAGGAATAAAAATGAAGATTGTAAAATATTTTAATCATCCTTCCGACAAATTTAATCCTTCTCCGGAATATTTTTATTGACTTCCGGTCAAGTTTGATGTCATGCTCTCGTGATGTTTCAGACGACGACGACGATGATGATGAACGAGATGATGATGAAGAAGATGATGATGATATTTTGGTCATAATCAAAATTATGTTATCATTATTTTATTATTATTATTACTTAGTCATCAACATCATCATCATCACCGCAATAATTGTCATCATTATCATAACGCGGCGTCAACCTCGTTACTGGGGATACCACGTGACTTGGATTCATTACGTCATGTCGATGCCTGGAATTCCCGCAGGATTTCAAAATGGCGTCCATCATCGTTAGAGTTTGGCTTGAATGGAGAGCCAGAGAAAGAAAGAAAGAGAGAAAGAGAGAGAGAGAAAATGAAAGAGAGAGAGAGAGATAAAGAGAGAGGAATGAAGTAATTAAAGAAAGAAGGCAAAGGAACGGATTGATAGATTGAAAGATAAAAATAATGCAAGAAACATGAAATTTGTAATAGGGAAGAGAGCCGGTGAAAACAGGAAAAAAGAGATAAAGGGTAAGGAAGAGAATGAGAAAGAGAGAGAGAGAGAGAAAAAAAGAGAGAGAGAGAAAGAGAGAAAGCAAACAAAAGCGAATAATTGAAAAAGTAAGAAAAACAAAGGATCGAGTAAAGCTCGTAGATAAAAATTAAATTGAAAAGATAAAAATTTATTATTAGAAGAATAAATTTAAAGAAATAAATTGCAAAAAACATTTCCGTCACCACGTTATAATTAACATTTTTATCTCATTTTATTTTATTTTTTTGCTTTGTTTTTCTTAGAAAAAAATTTAAAGGAAAAAAATCTAGGCTAGCATGCACATCACTTGAGCTTCAGATCTCGAATACGTGACCAATAAATGTATGTGTGTGTGTGTGTGTGCTTGTGTTTGTATGTGTGTGTGGTGTGTTTGTATGTGTGTGCGCGTCTATGTATACATGTTTGTGTGTGTGTGTATTTAGGTGTGTATAAAATCTAGATACATAGAGATAAATGCCTCATAGTATTTTTAAATTTATTTTATTTTATTTTTATTTGCATCAGGGTACATTAGTTTTTACGATGGGGCGACATTAATATATAGAAAAAATTGTTGATGACGATGATGGTGATGAAGAAAATGTTAGTGGAGATGATGGTGCTGATGAGGATGAAGATGATGAGAATGATGATGACGACGACGATGATGATTATACTTCGTTTCTTTACGATATTTTCATATTTCAGGTTAATAGTGTCTGCAATTATGGCTCTACGTTATTTTAGTATTAGCTGTGCATGCATTTTTGTATGCCTGTATGTATTTGTATGCGTATGCGTGTCTACATTGGAATGAGTTTGTGTGTGTGTATGTGTGCACGCGTGTGTTTGTTTAGTAAGAAAAATTTTATCTCATGCGCTCTAATGAATTATTTGGCAAATTTTTCTTAAATTTTCAGAATTTTCACACTTACTTTGAGCTGGAACCTGTCGGTTACAATCAAAACAACATTAGCAGCAACCACAACGACGACGGCCACATCGTCATCAACAACAACACGGATGCTTCTAGTACTTCAATCGGACAATCGGTCGCCAGAAGCGGCCACATGAGCAGCAAGAAGAGCGAACAGATCGACAGTCCAAACATATCTAACAACAACATCAACAATAGCAACGAAATCGCCGGTTCGCCATCTTTTCAATCGGGCCTACAACAATTTCAAACAAGACAACAATCAAACACTGCTTCAATGACAAGTAACAAATCAACAACATCTACACCTACATCATCTTCAAAATTTTCACCCTCGTACCCGCCAATCAGCATCGAGGAAGAAATCGCGGCCCTGAACGTTGAAATGGAGAGGATTCAGAAACAGTACCTGGAGATCGTCAAAGCTCACAGGGAAGCTCAACTGATTGCCTTCTCAAGCAGGCTGCCCTTCCAACGTCGAAAGTATCGCGCTGAAAATTTCTACGAATCCGACGGAGCCAGCACGCCGAGTCGATCTCAAGAAAGATTCTCCCCAAAAGATGAAGACTCGCAATCGCCTAATTTCAAAAAAAATCTCAGACCAAACATCGAATCAGATGTCAGTTCGATACGTTTCAGAAGCCAACACACCGACCTGAGAGATGCACAGAATATCGACTTCCACGCAGTCGCTAGTCCGAGAAAAATCGTGCCGAGAATGGGAACAAGAAGAGAGCAACAACAGCAGCAGGGTAAATTCATTCCGTACAACAACGCCTTCGTCCAATCCGGCTCTCACTTGCTCCCATTTTATTCCGGTGATGAGAGAGGAGCTGTGAGGTACGAACGTTCCAGAAATGACGACCCCCTTACAAACACGCAAGAAAATGTCTACTGCACCTTATTGAAAGAAAACAACCGCCAGCACTACGAGAGCCTTCTATTCAACAAGTACGATGGAGATTCAGCCAATCAAAACATCTATCACTCTTTAGAGCGCCAGGACACAGACGCCGAAGAAGTCACCACAAGAATGGAGCAGCAGTCAAAATTTTCAAATTTGAGAGGACAGCAAAACATTTCAACTGTCAGTTCAAAAATCATTCCCAAGTTCTATTCAAGGCGCACGAGTCACAGCGATTTGGAGCAGCCAGATTATTACAACTCGCACGAGGCAGGCGCCAAAGATTGGAACAGTGACGGGGGTTCTCGTTGCATGAGTACTGACGTAGACTCACCTAAGTTCATTTTCTCAGCCACGAACACGGCTGGCGTTTGTGTGACAGACAGGGTTGTGCCATCTCCCGCCCCGTTTTACGAGGAATCAAACAATTTCCTACCAAACTTTTACAATCGATTTGTTGAGGTTATGTACACGAACGAGGAGAATTTACAACATACAATCGCCCTCCAACAAAACCTCTTCCAACAACAACTCAATGCAAATGGTCAGTTCGTTACTCTTGTTTTCTTGCTGTTGTTGTCATTGTTGTTGTTATTACATCATACACTGGTTCAATGTTCGTTTCGTTTCGTTATAATTCGAACCTCCTGAAAAACAAAATTCATCGTAACGAAACAGCATTTTAGAATTCCTTGCTAATGTTGCACCATTTTTTCAAATTGATTGAAAATAAACCTGCCATGAAAAATATATAACGCGATCAGCACGTGTCAGTGCCGAAAGTGGCCACACGACCCCAGAGACCCCGAGAAAACGTGACGAGAACGTAACGAAGATGGAGTGGGTGGTGAAGCGGAGGGCCGACGGAACGAGGTACATCACCAGGAGGCCCGTCAGAAGCAGGATACTGAAGGAGAGGGCCAGGCAGGTGGCAGAAGAGAGGTTGGATTTGCAGGATTTACTTTATTAATTCCATTTACTTTGATAATTCCATTTTCTGCTTTTCATTATTTTCATTTTCGATTTAATTTTTTGAAATTTTTTATTAAACCGTTTTGAATTTTTTGCATTCTTCCGAATTTGTTTTACGTTTTTTGTTTTTAAGATGCGGCATCACAACTGACGACGATGCAATGAGTGAGATGAAGATTGGCAGGTGGACTTAGTGCAGATGGATTTATTCATTCATTCGCTCTTTTACTTGTTCATTCATTCGTTCATTTATTCATTCATTCGTTCATTTGTTCAATTTGTTCAACTGCCTGCTTGTATTTTTTAGTTTCCTAATTAATTAATTAGTTGAATTAATTGATCAATTAACGAAAACTGATGGGAAATTTAATGACAAACACTGACAGGTACTGGTCGCGAGAGGAGAGGAAGAAACATCTGGAGCAAGCGAGAGAGCACAAGAGACAGAAAGAGAAGTTCGATTCAATTCCTTCAAAACCTTTATAAACTTATTATACTCAATTAATTTATTCAAAATCTGCAAAAATTTAATAATTCTAGCAAAAACGTTAGCTGCACAACTCACAAGCAAAAAATTATTCATGAAACTTCAGACTCTTGAAACAACTAGCCGAGAAGAAAGCCGCCATGTTGGCAATGATGTCGTCATCCACTGACGCAACAATCAAAGCGGAAGATGACGACAACGAAGGCCACAGTAGCGACAGCAAGTTAACAAAAACTGATGAAACCGTTGCAATGGCGGCCACGAGAGCTTCAGAATTAGATGATTCCAATCCAATGCCTGTCGCATCTAAAGCTAATCAACTACATCTGTTGCAGCAGCAGCAAAAGCATCAACCAACTCGTCAGCAACTTATGAAATCCGCAGCAAAATATCAACAACAACAGCGTCAACAACAACAACAGCAACAACAACAACAAGCATCTAACAGTGTTTCGAGACGCTTCTTTGTTGATTGCAGTAGCGACAACTGCAACAGAAATAACAACTTCAAAAGTAATCTGTTCAGTCCTACAAATCCGGCTTTGCTGCAGCGTCTACATGAACAGCAAAAACAAGCCCAACAACAACAAGCCCAACAACAACAACAACAACATAGAAACTCACCATTATCAGATCTTTCAACAGCAGTTAAACATCAACAATTGTTGCAACAACAGCAACAATCGCGTCAACGTCCTTCGCAACAAACTAGACAGCACCACTTTCAGCAACACCAACAACACTTTCGATCTCAGTCTCATTCTCGCTTGCAACAAGATCGTCATCATCACCACCATCAGCAGCAGCAGCAGCAGCAGATGCAGTCAACCAAACCGTCAACAGATGCAGGCTTTCCGAACAGTCCCCACCAACAACAACAACCAAACAACAACAACAACGCACCTCCATATCATCCATTCCAAATAAGGAAACCCACGATCTTTTTAGGCAGGATGAACGCCAAAAGCGGAAGCGGAAATAGAAACAACAAAGATGGCGGTGGTCGCCGGGGTGACGGAAATGATGGTGCCAATTTGAATACGGGTAGCTCCAACAGCCTATTGTGCGTTACGACAGTCTAAAAAATTTAGCCGCGATTTACAATAATTAATAAAAAAAATTATGCTTCATAATATCGATATAATTATTTTACTCATTTTTTTCTTTTTTTTCATTCAATCATATTCCTATACCTTTATCTATCCATCCATCTATCAATATATTCATTCATCCATCCGTTCATCCATCCATCCACTGATTTATAAATAATTACTTAACCGTAATAACCTTAAAAGTTCATAATAATAAGAATAATAATAATAATATTACTATTAATAATTTGCGTCTGTACTTATCTAGTAGATAAAATGCGAGTTCTTATGTAAGACCAGGAGAGTACTTATGTAACGTATCTGGTACTCGTAAGTACATACGTACTGAGTAACAAGTGTATATGTCCTTCATGCTCTTATGTAATGCTTGCAATACAATTAAATTTGCTTGTAAGTAGTAATGTTTACTATGTAAATTTACATTTAAGTTGTAATAATGTTTACAATGTAATGTGAGTGTTTAAACCTAACTATATATTATTTTCCAGTCCAAATATTGAGTTTCAAAATAAAACTTTTGAATAAGGATGACATACGTTAACACGCACACACATACATACACACACATACATATACACACATACACCACACACATACATACATACATAAACACAGATATAACCAAATAAACACACATATATACCATAATCACAGAATGACATCTGAGACTGCATACAAATAAAATTGATATTTGAGAATTTATACAAATAAACGAATAAGCATACACAGGAATACACACATACAACACACGCACATATAGACAAACAAACAAACACAAACAAACATACAAGCTAACGCACGTATTAATCATGAACATATCAAAAAAAGTAATTCTATGTGCATCGTTCTATTAAATATTGTTCGCTACTATTTTGCGTTTGAAATGTTTTCAACGTTCATCCATTCGTTCACACATTTTTTTATTTATTCATTTGGTTATGACTCCTACACACACATGCACGCACACACACACAAACACGAACCACACACACATACATGGGTACAGTGGGTACATATTACATACATCCATCCGACGAAGGTTTCACAATTTTAGATATATAAACACAAACACACATTCACTTACATAAATCGGCAAGACACACACACACACGTATGCACACATGCCGGCAAGACACCCACACACACAACACACACAGCATTGGCGAATGCACGTGAATCCATTCACTCATCACATGCACTGTGCACGTGAGAGGCGGGGATCTTCTTGCAATCGAACGCATTCACGACAACAGCAGTGCCGGGCGCTTTACCATGTAAGCCATTAAGTCGCCAAATGTATACACACATTTGATACATAAATTTCACGTTGTACATTTGAAGTACAAATTTAAGTACTATATATAATAATAAATCTCTCTCTCTCTCTCTCTCTTTCTCTCTCTCTCACTCTTGTCACACACACACACACACACACACATACACACGCACATATATATTTACGTGGTTTTGTATAAATGTCATTTGTAATACCTATTAATGTATTTGTACTTATTTATAAACAAGTGTGTATATAAATATATATATATATATATATATATATATATATATATATATATATATATACATACATACAGACGTTTGTACCATTGGCTTCAGTATCGTGATGTTTTTAACTGTATTATTATTGTAAATTTTGAAAAATTGTGGGAAAAAAAAGTTTATTCATGTTTTTGTCATTCATTCATTTATTCATTCATTCATTCATTCATTCAGTCAGTCTGTCAGTAAGTCAGTTATCAGTCATCCATCCATCCATTCACACATTCATTCATTCATTCATTCATTTATTCTTTCCTTCTTTCGTGAAATAGGCCAGGAAACCAGTACTGAGTTTCAACCGCTGACTGTTCATCCAACCACACCAAACCTTCCAACACCAAGAAGTCCTGAAGATAATGATGATGATGATACTGATGATGATGACGATGATGATGACGATGATGATAACGATGATAAAAATGAAAAGCCATCATCTTACAAGCGCCTGCTCTACTCTCAGCGTATCCCACTTCAATTTTCCACTGAGTTCACCGACTGTCACGTAACTCTTTTCCTAGCAAAATGGAAATTAAATAATTAATTCAATCATCATTTCCATCGTCGTCGTCATCATATCAACATCACAATCATCACCCCCATATCATCACAATCGTTATCATCATCATCATCATCATCATAACCGACATGGGCTTCCTTGATGATAGTCATGTGATCCATGTTTAACTCGGCGGGAATGCTCTGAATGAGGTACTGGCCGTTATTATCCAAGGCTAACACACGAAAGCCATTCCCAAGAACCTTCATAGTCCTAATGGCTGTCATAATGTCTTCGCTGTGTGTGTGTGCGTGCGTGTGTGTGTGTGTGTGCGTGTGTGTCTGTTTTTGTGTGTGTGTGTATCTGTTTGTGTGTGTTTGTGATAGACGGATGAGCTAACAACAGATTGATAAAATCATGGATAGAAATGGAAGTTGATGAATGGTAGATAGACTGGCGGATGTATTCATGTCTTCCATGTCATTCATTCATTCGTTTAATTCATTCAATTCATTCATTCATTTATTCATTCATTCATCCATCCATCCACAAACTTTGTGACTTCCTGCTTATTTCTGCCTCTAGATATGTTCAACTTTGTTCTCAACTCATCCAACTTCATTATTCCTTTATATAAAATTTATCAATCAATCATTCAATCTATTAATCATTCATTAATCATTCATTCATTTAATCAATCAATCAATCAATCAACCAATCAATCAATCAATCAACCAATCAAATAAATCAATTAGCCAATCAATCAACCAATCACACCTCCATTCCTGTGCGATGTGGCCAGGCAGACCTCAACTATTTGCACCGACAATTCATAGTAGAAATCACCCACGCCCAATAGCTTGCACCAAAATCCTTTGCTAGCTGTGGAAATAATTATAATAAAATAAGCGATTTAATGGTTAATTAGTTGGTTGATTGATTAATTAGCTGGTTAATTAATTAATTGATCAATTAATTGTTGGACGGTTGGTTAACTGACTGATTTTTTTTCTTTAAAAACCAGAATCTGGATAAAAGCATGCAAAGTGGCAAGATAAAAGTTAAAGAAATAACAACAACAACAATAACAATAATAAAATTAATTAACATAAATTATGCAAACATGTTAATGGGTCAACCCCTATGGTAGCACACATCTCTTGAAACTGAGATCTAAATTTGGAATTCTTCTTAATCTCCTCTCTATACTTTGTAGCAAATTCTTCAAGGTTTTTTTTGAAAATCTCCATCTGGGAGGACATCTAGGGAGAGAATTATCATCATTAATGTAATTATTTAATTATCTACATATTTTAATTATTTATCCTTAATATTTATTTCTTTTGTTTTGATTATTCACTTATAAAATATTATGAAATCATTGTTTTTAGTTGTCATTGGATTGAGAAAAAGATTACATTATTACCCACAATACAAATAGAAATAATAAAACTAAAAAATCAAATAAATAACCAAATAAGAAATACCTCAGCTAACTGCTGTGAAGCAAGCTCAGTTCCTTTGTCTTTAAATTTGGCCTAGTAAACAAAAATTTAAAGCAATCACAAAGTAAGTTTTATATATTAAATATTACAATTTAATATTAATTTAAACTTTTAAAAAGTAAAACCATAAAAAAGTGAACTTAACAAAAACGAAAATAATTACAATTAATTTGGGTAGCACCAGTATGTAAATTTAAACAATAAGACAGTAATTTCGATTTTACTAATTTTACTAACTTGTACTGCTGTCTTATTTTTAATGGCCCCCACGCCGGCACCTCTTCGATGCATGCCGGACAAATTACTAAAAAGTTAAAATCGCGAAAACTGAAGTTTCACAAAGTTTTGGTTTTTACCCTGTTTACATTTTGACAAAAATGTTATAGCGCTACATAAATAGAAAAGAAAATTGTATCTTATTGATCTTCTCATCTCAAACTATTTTTCAATAAACTGTCCTTGCCAGAAAAAGCCGTTCCTATTTTAATCAGTAGTTTTTGAGGTATAGAGTTTCAAAGTCTTACATATTTCATATGTTTCATTTATATCATATAAATACAAAGTTTCATATTGTTCATTATCTTACGCCTCGTGCATATATACAAGTACACAAATATACAAGTACACAAACTCAAGCAAACAAAAAACACTCATGAACATACACACAGACATACATGTATAAAAGTTCAAAAATTTTACAAAACCACATTCACGAGACATACCTATATATACAAACAAACAAACACACACACATACATACATACACCTCATCATTCATACATACAAACGTTCACACAAACAAACCTACAAGCAAACGAACGAACAAACAAACAAACATGTTAACTAATTAATGCAAATGAAGACCGTTTAAAACGTTAACCTACCATCCTAACAGCATTTACATAGTTTGTAACATAATCAGTTTGCATGTTCGAATGTATGTATGTTTGCTTGTCTGTTTTTGTATGTATCTTTGTATGTTTGTTTTTCTGTACTGTGTATAACTTTTTATTCATGACACGACACATGTATGTATGTATTTTATTGCATATAACACTCAAACAGACACACACACACATACAAATATACCTACACGTGCATACAAACTTACATACAAACATAAATACAAACATACAAACACGTACATTCAAAGTTATATACAAACATATAAACACAGCATGTTTTTTCTTTATATTCATGCATGACTCCAGGCCAAAGAAAATTGAAATCAGTCGGTAATGTACTTAATTTAAAATCAATATATCCTAATTTGTATGTATGTATGTATCTATGTTTGTGTGTATGTATGTGTGTGTGTGTGTGTGTGTGTGTGTGTGCGTGCGTGCGGATGTTTGTATGTATGTGTATGTATGTTTCGTGTTGGCAATGCAATGAGGAGGATGAGGAGGAGGAGGAAGACGACGAATAAATTAATAAATAAATGAATAAATTTCGACCATTATAAAATGATAGCAGTATTACATTAACTTAGATCCACTGAAGACCAAAGTTAATTTCATTCCTTCATTCGTTCAATCAGTCAGTCATTCATTTATTATTATTATCATTATTATTATAACACTTGAAATAATTTTTTCGCCGATGACGTTTTATTATTTATATTTATAACAATTATTACAATAATTTCATAATTATTTATTTTATTATCTTGTCCGTATTTACTTCTAAAAAAAACTTTGGAGCTCGAAACTTCAACGCTGAGAAGATAAATAAAAAAAAATGGAGTATGATACAGGTTCAGTTTTACCGGCACAACCCCCATCAACATCGTCATCACCATCATCAGCCACAACAACATCATCATCGCCAACAACATCATCAACGACAACAACAACAACAACAACCAAAACAATGACATCACCGTTATCACCAATCAGCTTTTTATTCGGACCTTATCCATTTTCTGCCAAACCAAGACAAGCTAGTAGTGTATGTTATAACATCAACAACAACACTAACAACAGCATCAACAACAATAGCAACCATAACAACTTTAACGACAACAAAAACATTGCTGAATGCTATGAGACTATTAACAAAGGCATCAACAACAATCATTTTTCTTTGGCAAAAAATGACGATGAAAGTTGCTCTAGCGGTAAAGAAAATGAAAACCTTACATCAAAATTTTTAAAACATCAACGACAACATCAGCAGCACCAGCAGCAGCAGCAGCAACAACAACAACAGAAGCTACGCCAACATTTCAAATTGCAACATTTAATTAACCGATGTATTATCAACGAGCGGACAAATTTTGAGACTTCAACTGAATATTTGACAACATCAATAGCATCAACAACAACAACAAATTCAATGACATCAACAATTCTAAACAGATACTGTTTAAAATCTCGTGCTATGCCAACAACACCATCAGATAACAGCAGAAAACATCAAATCGACGGAAACATCAACAACTTCAACAACAATAATAACGTCAACTACATTAGTAACATCAACAAAACTATCAACAATAACAACAAAACTATCAACAACAACAACAGCAGCAACTACGTTAACCGCAATGTTTATCAACGCTACTACAAATATCACAATCCATACCTCAGATATGATGATGACAACTGCAACAACAACAACAACAACAACAACATAAACATCAAAAACAACAACAGCCCTGGTGACGACGATGACGACGACAAAGTTTTGATTAACTGCGATGCATGGAAGAATGTAGAATCATTATTGAGTCGCAGTAATGATACTATCTCTTATTATTCAACAACTACTACTACAACTACTACTACTACTGCTGTCGCTACTACTACTACTACTACTGCTGCTGCTACTAACACTAAAACGGTTACTACTTCGCATATTTCTGCTGTTAGCCCAATTTATTCCAAAGTTACTACTACTACTACTTGTCTTAGAGATACTTTTTCTAAGCAAAAACCGACCAGAAAATTTATAAGGACTGTTGATGATAAATTTTCATACAGAGATTACGTGAAAGGAGTGATCAGTGAAGCTCCGAAACTCGTCGATACTTACATACCGACCGATTCTGACACATCACTTACTGGTAGTAATAATAATATTAACAGTGAGAGCAGTGTTAGTAATGCAGATGCATACAAGGATGTTACTCGAGATACCGCTACTAACGAAACCACCGGTAAAAATAGCGACGGTACATTTAATGGCAGGTTCACGAGTAATGCAAGCAGTACTGTTAATGAGAGGACCGCCAAGTACTTGTACAACACTGAATTTATACCGGATAATTACGGTTCGTGCACAAACATTGGTCAGTACGATAGAGTGAAGCCAGCCATCAGAACAGTGATGGCTCGATTTGAAGGATTCGTCGATACGTCACAGAACTATTACAACGTTTCGAATATTTATGGGACTCTGAGAAACCGTATCACCGGTATTGATAAAGATAACGGCATCGTCCTTTCAAAGAGGCATAGTATTGCGAATGCTAGCGCACTGAAAAATACTACAAACATTACAAACAACAGAAGAGAGTACAATGCTAGCCTTACTACTGATGATCGTATCGATAATAGTAACATAGATTCTGCCAGTGGGATGAATACTAAAAGTCCGCTTAGAAGATACACATCTCTGATTTCAATGGACGTAGACCTACGGAGATGCCAGCATGGCGATACAAAACATCGACCGATTTGAAACGGCAATGCCGACGACTTATAAACCACAAACGTCATAAACATTTGAATAATTGTTCAATGAAATTCAATTCATTTATTTTTGATTAGCACGTACGGGGACAAATTCAAACATTACACACCTTTCTCAAATCATCTTTCCATTCAAGTTCAAAAACATTGATTCAGTTGATTAATTAGCCAATTGGTTAACCATACATATTTAATATTGCTATTAAAACAAACGTCTTTAAATTTAGTCTGGTAGGGAAATTTTTATTGCAAAATTAAACGAACTAACAAGAATATGAAGCAATGAATACAATGATGACGATGATGAACAAACAAGCATAGATACAAAAACTAGTTTCTATATCTATGTAAACAAACCACAGATATAAAAACTACTAGTTCTTATAACTATGTAAACAAACCAAAAGGCTTTTTAAAGGGCGGCAAACAAAAAAAAAGCAAAACAATTAATATAAATAAAAAAATTCCACCAAATCATTTTACTGTAAAGTATATTGGTCTTGAGATAACTCTATAGTATTGTGGGTATGTTCAACTATATAAACACATAAATATATATTAATATGTTAAACATGACCAGTGTATGTATGTTAAGTATGGACTGTAAATATACTGAACATGACCTATGTCGGGCCTGGAGAAGTATTTAATGGGAAATAAAAAAAATGACCTTTAACATTAAACAAACGTTTTAAATACAATTTTTCTTTCCAAAAAACAAACAAAAAAAAACACACACACACATACACACACATAAGTTGAAATAAGATGATTGCATTATCATCGCCCAAATCATTACAGATAATATCATTAAACAAAAGGATGACAATGAAAATACAACCAGAATTAAGTTAGCAAAGCGATTTAAAATGAAAATCAAATAAATGAATTATTGATAAACTAATTAATCCATTAATTCATTCTGCTAATTAAATCCTACACTTTATGCTATTACAATTATAACACAATCAGACTATCATCAATAGAACCAGAAGAAAAAAAATCAATTTTTAGAACATAACCAACTCCAAAGACACGCCTACCTCATTAATTCATAATACACGCTAATTAATATTCAAAGGTTATGCTAATTAGTTTAGGCCTCGAATTCTAAGGCGCAACCAAATTTGTGGCCCCCGGCTGTAAATGTCTTGCCCTCCACAAGTGTTGACAGGGTCAGGGTGACTCCTGTAAAGAAATAATTTTTTTGTAACCAAGTTAAGCATAATTAACATAATTTAATCAAAAATTTGAAAATGAATAATAGATAATATATGAGAGAAAAAAGTAACCGACCTGGACGCAATTTCTGCTGGTATGAAAGCCCAACTCGACTGGAGTTGTCAACTTTTGCCTGGTAGGGAAGGAACAAAAAAAAATATAAACAGAATATCTACAAGATAGTTCTCTAACTGTCATACTTTTTCTCTCTCTCTCTCTCTCTCTCCACACACACACACAAACGAAAAACAAAGACAAACCTTAATGGTAGCATCCCTATCAATATTATACTTGGCCCCAAAACCAAAAGCAGTTTCGTTTGTGCCGGACAGCCAGCTGAGGTGAATGCCAGTCTCCAGGTCGTCGTGGATCTTATGGAAGACTGAACTGCTGTACTCATTGCAGCCCTTACTGTGATGGTGATAATGTGATGGTGATAATGTGATGAGAACATTCCATGCACATGCACAAGTCTTTTTTTTATATCTTCACCATCAACACAATCATCATCACCATCATCGTCAACCCACACAATTATCACCATCATCACTTACACTCCAACAAACAGATCAAGATCATCCTTCGAGTAGCCAATGGCTACATTGCTCTGGGACATGAGAGACTTATCAACAAGTTTGTTGGCATCATAATTCAGCTGGAACCCACCAAGGAAACCATTGTGCCTGATTTTTGAAATTAAATATACATTTATTTATCCTCATATATTTAGAGAAAAAGGGAGTGTGTGAAGAAGATAGGAAAGCTAGAGATAAAGAGGAGTAAGGAGAGAGAAAAAAAGATAAAGAAAGAGAGTGAAATAGAAAGAAGTATAAAATTGTATGGGCTTGCTGTTTGAACATGAAACAACATTTATAAAATGGGCTATTCAAATACAAAAACCATCAGCTTGATAAATAAATAATCTTCTAACCCAAAAACAATAGAGCCCAGGAGGCCATAGGTCATAACATCAAAGTCCAAAGTTGTGTGGACAAGGTCATTCTTGTAGGCAGTTTTCACTTTGCCAGATTTCTTTCCAGATGCAATGAAGAGTTTTGTTTCAAAACCTAGCTTCAAGCCCTCAAGAAGTTGATCCTCAACAGTCAGCTCTCCGGCCAGGGCATTGTCTGTGCTCCATGTCTCTTTGAGGGTGGCTCCTAATTTGGATTAGGAAAAATTTTCTAGACGGTTGAAAAATCTTCTAAGATTCCTAAAATATGATTATAAATTGAAAAGAACAAAAAACTCAAAACATTTACCATGTTCCTTCCATTTGTATTTTGATTCAAGACTTCCACTGAAGAGACCAGTGTCATGGCTGCTCGACCCACCAGTTGTGAATTCAACTCCCCCATTGGTTTTTGTCTTCGCTTCAACCTTGAAGAAGCCAAAATCTGAAACAATCAAACACAAATGTCTACTTATCACAAGTCTCTTGAGTTTAACTTTTGTAAAATAAATACAAATCAATGAGTGAGAATGAAAACTTACGAAATCCTTTTGAGAAAAGATCTCTGGCACTTTTTCCGAGATCTGCAAATGATGGTGGGGCCATTTTATTTCTGATCTACTTCTTGTGAGACTTGTCCCTAACTAACTAGTTGAGAGAAAAATTGCATACAAAATAAGTTATATTTGTGAAATAATTACAAATCATGTCCATGACATATTAAATTTTAATTTAACATGCTAATATTAAACATCAGAATCATGGAGCCGTCATTGAAAAGTAAGTTTTTTTTACAATGGTGGCACATCTGTGATTTTTTTGTATTCAGACTGCTCTAAAAAAAACCAGAAGGCCAAACAAAAATTATTAGGTAAGAATGAAACCATGTCGTCGGTTTATTGAATGCCGGATTAATAATTTGATCAGCGGATTAGTGAAAGCGAATCCGGTAGAGCAATGTCGTAAGTAAGATGGGGTCAATATGAATTTGAGAAGGACGAACGAACTTCAAAGAAATTCGGCAACGTAATTTAGCAACTTATAGTTTAATTTCTACCACGTAAAATGAAAAAATTTAAAAAAATAAAAGTGTAAAACTACTTTTTAGTGAAATAATTAAAATTTTGATGAATTTTAATGAATAAAATCATGAAAAAAAAATGAAACCAGACCGACATTCAAACACGCCAGAACAGAAAGTATTGAAAACTGAAGCAAGGTCACGATGATGCAACTAATAGCTGCAACAGCAGCTTAAAAAGTTTCAGCCTGTCCCTGTTTAAGAAAACGCCGTTTAAAAATAATTTGCTATTTTTTACAAATAAAATGCAATTTATTTTATTTAAAACAAACAGTAATTTTTATTAAACAGCTTAATATCTAAGTTTCACTTTAGAATTCGACTTTGTTACTATCGCAACAAAGAAATGCCGAAGATCCAAGTTCACAGACGTCCTCCATAAAAACCCGCGAAACTAAAATGATTTGTTAATTTATTTAATTTAATTTAACTTCTCTGCTAAACTCTCTATGCTGCAACTTTTGTACTATAAATTGATGAAATTTCCTAAATAAGCATCTTGGCGTCATTTCATTCATTGCTAGTCTAAAAATTAAAAGTTATTTAAATTAAAGATAGCATGGAAAACGTAACAGATGTCAAACTTCCTAATAATCCGTCAACATCTACCAATCCGGCAAAATCTTTATCGTGCAATGTTAATCTGTACAACGGATTCGTGGTTAGTTACTGCTAGACTAGCCTCCCATTGATTGGATATTATTTTTCTAATTTAATTTTGTTTAATTTTGAAATTTAATCTTCTCCAGCAAGCGGCTGATGTGCCATCCCTCGACAACTATCGAAAATTGGAGAAAATCGGCGAGGGAACGTACGGCATAGTGTATAAAGCCAAACATCTCCCGACTGGTAACATGGTAGCTCTCAAAAAAGTTAGACTGGATAGGTAAGTGAAGTTAGCAATCAATTACTTAAAAACTTAATGATTATTAAAGTTTGCTCCCATTTTGAAATTGGCTCAGTGAATAAAGTTATAAGATTGTTCCCATCTTTTTCTGTTTATTTAATTAATTAAGTTTACTATTTGAAAAAATCTACTTTGGTTGCTTTTTATATTTTATTTCATTTAAATTAAAAAGTTTGTAACACTGACCATTTGTGTTAATTTTGACTTTTTAGTGATCCAGAAGTGGGAGTCCCCAGTACGACGATTAGGGAAATATCTCTGCTCAAAGAAATCGCAAATCCCAAGATCATATCGTGATTAGAAATTTTTTCCTTCATTTCATTATATTTTCAAACTCTTTTTCATTACCATATTTTGTCATATTTTTCTTTCAAATGCAATACACCCACCAACGTTTCTAGTGAGTAAGATAATTGAGGGATTAAAATTTTATGGTAAATGTTTGCACGTAACAAGACAATTATACATTTATAACTGGATTTTTTTTCCAGACTATTGGATGAGGTGATATGCTTCAAAGCCATCTACTTAATATTCGAATACTTGGACTGCGATTTGAAAAAGTACATGGACGACAATCCTGGCGGTCTCAATCCTGCACTCGTTAAAGTTAATATCTCTACAGAGTTTAATTTTATTAGTTTATTCAAAAACTGTGCAGAAATTTTTTAATTTATTCAAAAACCGCACTTAAATTTATTAATTTATTTAAAAACCAAACCACACAGAGCTACATGCACCAGCTGTTACAAGGCCTTCATTACTGTCACGTTCGACGAGTCATGCACCGTGATCTGAAGCCACAAAACTTACTTCTCGACACAAAGGGCAACATTAAAATTGCTGATTTTGGCCTAGCTAGAGAATTCACACTACCCACTCGGGCGTATACACATGAGGTAATTTTCATAAATTTTAGTATTTATTTTGTTGTATCGTATCTTGTTGATTTTATGTTTGTTTTAGTTTTGTATTAGTTTATTTTTTGTATGTGATTTTTGCATTTTTACACCTCCTTAATTCATCACACTTATTGCATTTCTTCAAACTTTAATTATCAAACTTGCAATTTTTCCTATTTCAACAATTTCCTAATTGACTGACTGACAATAACACAAATTCACTTTCCCGCACATCCCTACAACAAAATGTCAGGTGATCACGCTGTGGTATAGGGCCCCGGAAGTTTTGCTGGGTTTGTCAGTCTACCTTGGTTCTGTTGATATTTGGAGTCTGGCCTGCATCTTCATTGAGATGGTTAAGCATGCTTTTATTATAGTTATATATTATGATTAATATTAATTATAATGATTAATATTAATTGTAATGATTAATATTAATTGTAATGATTAATATTAATTATAATGATAATATAATGTGGTATTAATATTATCAAATGACTAGTCATTTGGTTTTTCATTTTAATAGGATTCACTTATTCATTTCTTCATTTGTTTCTCTGTCCTTCCTCCTTTCATTCATTTATTCTTCCATTCACTGCTTCGTTTATTCTTTGTTCATTCATTCATTCATTTTCCCGTATATTCAATCATTCTCATTCATTCATTCGTTCGTTCCTTCAACAGGCCACAGGCAGACCATTGTTTCCAGGTGATTCAGAAATTGATCAGCTCTTCAGAATGTTCCGAACTCTCGGTCTGCATAATTTATGTTAATTATCGTTGCCGTCATTCATTACACTGATCATCCTCCAGACTTTTATCTAGTTTTTAATTTATTTTCATATAAAATCGATCAACAATGACAAAATATTCACTTTTTTACACATCTTTGATACAAAATGGCGTTCACTAATTAGGCACTCCGAGTGAATTAACCTGGCCCGGGGTCTCAAGCCTTCCGGATTACAAAATGACTTTCCCAAAATGGTACCCCCAGGATCTTAAGTCCATGTTTCAAAATCACCTAGATCCTTCTGGAATCGACTTGCTCGAGGTTGGCACGGTGCTGATGATGGTGAATGAGAAGGATTGTGTTGGTGATTTGAAAGATGATTGTGGTGGAGATTTTCAATGATGATAATTTGATAGATGACGTCTATAATTCTGACCATGAAAATTATGACAAGTGAAACCGTGATGATAAATGTGCTAACGATATTTAAACATTTTAAAGTTCAGAGAAAATAAATAAGAAGCAAACTTTGACGTTATATTATAATTACATATATAATAAATAAATAAAAACATAATTATAACTATAATTTTACTTATTATTACCATAATTGAAACTTTTCAGAATCTTCTGATTTTCCACCCCCCGAAACGCCTGACAGCCAAAGAAGCCCTGGAACGACCATATTTTAAAGACGTCCAGTTGGTCAAGCCGAAAAATGTCTACCCCAATGAAAATTTGCCATAAATAAAAAAATAATCTGTCTTTGTTATTCGCTGGGTCATGTCTTTAATTAATATGTCTTTTATAGAATATATATGTGTATTTTTTTTATAGAATATATTTATGTATATACCTGTGTGTATTTATATAACGGTGATGATATGATGTTAAATTCTTTTAGCGTTTTACGAAATGTTTTTAATCGTAATAATAATGATGAAATCTCATTGGTTAATTACTTTAATTATAAATGATTAGAGTGATTAAGACTTGTGCTATTTGTGTGTGTGTGTGTGTGTGTGTGTGTGTGTGTGTGTGTGTGTGTGTGTGTGTGTGTGTGTATTTTATCATTTTTCCGCATAACTTTATTTTTTTTTAAAAAGTCAACTTATTAAAGCAGAGATCACATTTTAATCTATCCAGGAATAAATAAATAAATAATAATGTCTGTAACATTTGTATTAAACGAAAGTCTTTTCATTGATATATTTCTCGCTGTAATTAAAATTGTAATAAAGATTATTCTGTGTAAATCAGAAATGTGTAAATTATGCATCAGATAGAATTTGATAGGACCAAAATACGAAATAAACTTTAATTCTAATTTGATTGAATGATACAGATTTAATCATGATTAAGCGTAATAAATGAAAATAGTATAAGTAATTATAAGATACTTTTAATTAAGGCAATCGAAGCAATAAAAGTTGCACACACGATAATGACTTGGATTCAAGTTTGGATGAAATTTTCGGGTATCCCTATCGTTTTGCATGTATCATTTCGTTTCGTGTCTTATATATCATATAATATATCATTGATACGTTGATAGTATCACCTGGTCACAACCACACTTGAATCACACTACAACTCTAAATAACACATTTTATGCGGTGCCAAAAAACTTTCGGGTTGTATTTGGCCGCTGTTGAAACTTTCTTTCTTGAAAAGGCAAACAAATTTATGCTAGAGAACTTTTTTCTATTAAGTAACAATTTTTTCAGTGAATATTTTAAGTTAGAGGTCGCAGTATGGTAGATTTGCGTGTCCTTGGTGCGTGCCATAGGGAGTTGGCGGTGCGAAGGATTGTTGGTGACGGGTAGGCGATTGATGTTGAGGAACATTTGGTGGTGTCTGTGGCGAGGGTTGGTCGGCGATGTGGTAGCCGTGAACTTCCAAGCCTCTCAAGTGGGAAAGTTGCCAGGGCTTAATCCCTGTTGGATCTACGACGCCCCCTGATGGGTGGGTTTGTTGCTGGGGACCGGTTACGATGTGCTGACTTGTTTTCGTTGTTGTCGTCTGGTGGTAGGTCGTCGATCCGTGACTGTTTGTTATGGAAATCGTAATTGTTTAATTTAAATTTTAAGTACGTGTAAAAAATTATATTTGAGCAAATTAATTGTGTAATCAGAAAAAGAAGAAGCCTGACTTAGGATTTGAAGAAGGGTAGATGACAGTGCTGGCTTCGAGAACGTTGACGCCGCTTGGAGAGATTCCATATTTTTTGTTGAAAGCATCCCTATCAGCCGCGTCTTTGATGAGAGAAGCTTTCTTATCAGCTATCCGGTCAAAAGCTGTTTCCTGCTGGCTCTCTCTCAGGGGCGAAATATTTGGCTGGCTAAATTGTTGCGGTGTCGAAACAGCTTGAACGTTTTCAACGACTTGGTGTTGTGTTGTGATTGTTGTTGTTCGCTTGTTGACGCTTGGTTGAACAACTTGGCTGGTCGTGTAGGTCGTCGAACGTTGTGGGTGCTGCTGCTGTGGTTGTTGTGGCTCACGAGGCTGGGAGACAGAGCTGAGGATTCATTAACAGTTTTATAGATGAAAGGTATTCGCGTGAAATTATATCGATAAAATATTGTTTAATCACCTCTGTAGTGCAGGATCTCTTGAGTGAAACGCAGACTGCTGTGCCGGTGCATCCTGCTGGAAGTAGATGTGCCCGTGAATCGGTTGATCAACGGCTCGTCTTTCCAGGGGTTTTGGCTCTAAGGTGTCGGTGAATGTCGGTAAACTTTCCAAGAGTGCTTGCAATTTTTGAAAATCTGAGTATAATCCTTGAGCCTGAGTGCGAGCCGTGGTTACGATTTCGTGTTTCTGCTGATCCTTCTTTATTCCTTTCATTGTATCAATTTCTTCGGGCTCAAGAGCGCTGTGATGATTTTTTTCTGGCACGTAAATTCCTTCTGCAAGAGCTGAACCTATCAGGCTACTCATCCCTGAGAAGTAAAATATATTTGCGAAGAGTTCATCAGAAGGTTTAGGCTTGGATGGCTCTGCGGCTTTTGGTGGACTTACAACTGTTGCAGTAGTAGCAGCAGCAACAGTTGTAGCCGTGGCAACACTAGCAGCTGGAACTGCTGCAGCAGCAGATGTTGCGGCTGGTTTTGTTTGAACTGGTGCAGCAGCTGTTCCCGGTTTAGATGGTGCAGGTGTTGCAGCTGTGCTTATTTGTACTGTTGTTGATTTTGCAGCTTGAGAGACGGTCGGAGCCGCAGCAACTGGAGTTGAAACGGCTGTAGATAATTGTGCGGGTGCTGAAACTGTTGTGGCTGGTTTAGCGGTTGGGGCAGATGCTGCGACTGCCGCTTTTGCAGCGACAGGCGTTGCTACTGGTGCTGATGCAGAAACAGTTGTAGCAACAGCAGTTGCTGCAGGAGCTGGTTTTGCAACAGTCGTTGCAATAGTTACAACTGTTGCAGCAGATTTTTCTTGCACAGTTTGAGCAGGTTGTCCTGGAGCAGCTGGCTTTGGTGGTTCTTCAACTTTTGGTTTAACTTGCTCAGCAGTTTTAGCTGATTCTGCTGGTTTTGCTGGCTCAGCTGGTTTAGCTGCCCCAGCAGGTTTTGCTGCTTCAGTTGGTTTAACTGTTTCAACAGGTTTTGCCGGCTCAACTTTTTTAGCCGGTTCGACTGGTTTAGCCTGTTCTGTAGGTTTAGGTACCTCAGTTGGTTTGGCTGGTTCTACAGGTTTATTTGACTCAGCTGGTTTAGATGCTTCGGCTTGTTTAGCTGGCTCAGGTAATTTAACTGGCTCAGCTGGTTTGGCTGGTTCTGTAGGTTTAGCTGGTTCAGCTTGTTTTCCTTGTTCTGCAGGTTTTGCTGATTCAATCTTTTTAGATGGCTCTGCAGGTTTGGCTGGTTCTGCAGACTTAGCTGGTTCAGCTTGTTTTCCTTGTTCTGCAGGTTTTGCTGGTTCAATTTTTTTAGCTGGCTCTGCAGGTTTTGCTGGTTCTGCAGGTTTTGCTGGTTCTACAGGTTTAGCTGGTTCAATCTTTTTAGCTGGCTCTGCAGGTTTTGCTGGTTCAGCAGGTTTTGCTGGTTCAATCTTTTTAGCTGGCTCTGCAGGTTTTGCTGGTTCTGCAGGTTTTGCTGGTTCTACAGGTTTAGCTTGTTCAACCTTTTTAGCTGGCTCTGCAGGTTTTGCTGGTTCAACCTTTTTAGCTGGTTCGGCAGGTTTAGCTGGTTCTGCAGGTTTAGCTGGCTGTCCAACTTTTGATGGTTCACCCGCTTTACCGGGAATTGATTTTATTTCTTCCGTTGAAGTTTTAGTAGTAGTGGTAGAAGTAGTTGTGGTAGTTTTGCCATCCGGGCTTGTTTTTGTAGTGACTGTAGTAGTTTTTGATGTGGTGGCAGTACCAGCAGCAGTAGCAGTAACAGAAGTAGAGCTTGTAGTCGTAGTAGTAGTTGTTGGTTTTCCGGCAGGTTTAGGAGCTTCCACTGGCTTAGCGGCAGTCGAAGGACCTGGTTTTGCAGCTTCAGTCGCAGGTTTAGCAGCTGCATCAGGTTTTGCTGCTCCATTTGCTTTTGAAACAGGCTTTAATCCAAACTTGTTGGCTGCAGGTTGCGGTTCCGGTTTCTTCTGAAACTGAGCTAATCTCTCTTTCGTTGATCTGCAGTGTGTGTGAGCAAAATAGTTTAATAATGCATATTTCATTTCCTAACTAAAAATTTAATTACAAAATTAACTTGAAAAATTGATTAAATTTTCATTATATTTGATTGAAAAAAATCGTTTAAAATTATTTTAAATTAATTTTACTTACAACATCTTTTTGTTCGCGTGGTTTCTAATAAATTGCTTCTTGAAGACGAAACTGTAGGAGTAATTTTTAAGTAATTTAATCCCAAGTAAGTTTAAACTTTGTGGTGCAGTTGTTGTAGTTGCGGTTGTGGCTGCTACTGACACTTGTCGTTGTTATTCCTGAATGCGGTAGACAAAAATCTTCTATCAATCACATTATAATTTAACTTAAAATAGACGAATATAGCGTTCAAAAACTCTTTTTTAATTATTTAATCAAGTGATTTAATTAATAATTAATAAAATAAATGAATTAATAAAATAAATGAATTAATAAAATAAATTGATATAAAAAAACCGAAATAACTTGAAAAAAATTAAGTGAAAAAGATAAAACGAAAATTATTCGAAAAATTCCAACCTTTCTACTATGGCAAGCATTAGAAACCCAGAAACCACCAATACAAATAAAAATAACAAGATCATCGTCGTCGTCATCTTCACTTTTGTACAATAATAACAATAATAATAACAACAACCACAGAAATAATAATAATAACAACATATATATCGCAAGTTAAGTAAGCAAGGTATATGGCATTGAAGCCTGCAGAAAGACTGGATGTGCAATAGTCTTGCAAGGTCTAGCTAACAACACCAACAACAACAACAACAACAATAATAATAATAATAACGATACATCCCGTTTTTATTATGATTCTTATTGTTGTTGTTATTATTAATAATAAAAAAATTATTTATCCTAACTCTCTTCCTTGGAGTCTTCGTAAATTGATACCCCTCTACTACACATTTTCTTACATTCTCTCTCTCTCTCTCTATCAATATTTATAAAGAGAGAAAGAGAAAAAGAGAGAGAGAGAAAGAAAAGCAAAGAAAAATTGAGAGAGTGAAAATATGAATGAATGAAAATATGAACGAACGAATGAAAGATATATTATGGAAAACGAACGAATAATCAAATGAATTAATGGATAAACCAACAAACAAACAAATGAATTAGTGAATGAATGAATGAACGAACGAATGAACGAATGAATGAATGAAAGAATGCGTGAATGAATGAATGAACGAAAAATGAATGAACAAAAGTACTTACTACGTCGAGCAAAGCAAGCAATTATAAATAAAAGAAATACAATATTAAAGGAATTAGTGATAACTTATTTGGAAGTGTTTTATCATTTTGTACGAGTCTCTGATAAAAGAATAAATGAACGACTGAAGGAAAGAGTAAACGAGCGACTGAAAAAACAAAAAAAAATGAAGAAAAGAACGATGGAATGATGGAATAAAGAAGAAATCATTATATCGAACACCTACTTAAACTCACTCATTCAGTGTTGAATTTTTTTCAGCAACGGCATTCTTAGTCAAATAAATTATTGCCGACAACAACAACAACAACAACAACAACAATAACAACAACATGGAATGTTTTCTACCTATCCTACCAACAATAAAAAGAGTCCCTATCTAACTTATAAAGTTACGTAATGTAATGTGCGTGTGTGGGAGTATTTGCGTTAAATGACGCATCTCAAATAGATAAAAATATAAATGGCAAAATTTAAAGAAAGATTAAGACGTAGAGAGTAAGACCTGTATGAAGAAAAATGTATTCAACAATCAATAAATGAATATCCCACAAAAAACCAGGAACCACCGCGTACCTGCTGAATGTATGGTGTGAAACAAAACAAAACAAAAAACACGAAATCGAAAAACACCACCAAGTAGAGTAAAAGAATAGAAGTACCTATGTAACTAAATTACCTTATGCCTTAGCCTACCTATACAATAAATTAATAAATTAACATACACAAACATACAAACAACGATACAACACAACACACACAGACAAACATACAAATACATACATAAATGCATACATTCATTCATACATGGAAGTTATAATTCGTGCTCAAATAACAACAAAATTTACAACTTTAACATAAACAACAACAACATCAACAACAACAACAAACTCCACAACAGTAATAACAAAAACACGAATTTAAACCCAAAACTGTACAGAAAATAACAATGCACACATTACCATCCGCCAATTATTCATTCATTCATTCATACATACATCCACTATATTATTACTACTATTTTTAGTATTATAATAATAATAATAATAATTATCATTATTATTATTATTATTATTACCCATAATAATACCACTATGCTACCGTGCTTTATCATCAGACAAACTTAACTATGCGGTAACTATGGATGATATTGTTGCTATTGCTATTAATGCTGTTATTGTAGTTATTGATTTTGTTGTTGCTATTGTTATTAATATTGTTATTGTTGATATTGTTGTTATTGTTGTCATTATAAAGTATCAATTAATGTGGGGAAAATTTCGTCAATGACATTATAATGTCAAAAAGTTATGACGAAGTTGACACTGAAATATGTTAAATGAAGAACAATATTATTATTTTATAATTACGATTACAACTGTGTAACGATAAGAATAACAATAATAACAACAACAATTATAACAATAATAACAGTTCATAAAGTACAGAGCGTCACGAAGATGGCTTATTATTATTTTTATTTTTTACACTATGTATGTATACCTTTCATTAACAAAACGTTATCAGCCATCCATCAATACATTGTCATGATACCTACGTTGCAAGCACTCTCTCATACTCCCTCTATTCTCTCTCTCTCTCTCTCTCTCTCTCTTTCCCACTGTTTTATCCCTCTCTCATATTTCTTTCAAACTCTCTCTCTCTCTCTCTCACTCTTTCTTTCTCTCTCTTTCTTTTGTCTCTGTTTTTCTCAGCCTCACTTCATCTTTCTCTCTTATCTCTCTCTCTCTTTCTCTCTCTCTCTCTCTCTCTCTCTCTTTCTCTCTCTCTCTCTCTCACACACACACACACACATTTTTCTTTCATTTCAAGTTTTACTCCCTCCGTTACTCTGATTTTTTTTCCTTCTCTTCCATTCATCATTTTCACTCTTACTCTTTCCTTCAATCAACCTCTTTTTTCCGCCGTCATCTCTTTTTTTTTGTCCGTCCATCCATTCATCCGCCTGGTTTGTATTTTACCGCCTCTCTCGACCCAATAATGACACGAAACGTACAATGAACTCTCTCTCTTTCTTTCTCCAACTCTTTCTTTTTTTCTTGTTTACTACTATCTCTCTTTCTCAATATATATATATATATATATATATATATATATATATATATATATGTATATACCCATCAATTTTGGTGACAAAATGCTCCTACGCACTTTAAAAATACATATATATCACCCATATATATATATATATATATATATATATATATAAATAGATATATGACTATATTTATATGTATGTATAGATGTATGAATACATGTTTGTATGTATGAATGTATGTGTGTGTGTGTGTGTGTGTTTATTGAGTGTCTATTTTACAAGCATATAATAGTTTTACGGCGAGTATAAAATAAAACGTTGTCCTTCTCTATATGCGGCGTTGTTTTCCTCACTCTGACTGAATATCCATCCTAGAGTCGTATCGAGACAGTATCGAATCCAATCGAAACGGGATCGGAACGGTACAGCATCAAATCGGTGTTGTGGTCACTAGTTTGTATCATTAAGTCTGTTGAGTATCGAATTGGTATGCTTTGTTTTGATATACTCTTGTACCGGTTTAGTATCGAATTGGTTTAGCACTGTATTGATACGGTAAATCAGTATCAGATTTCGTTTTGTTTCTAACTGTAAGCATAGCGATACAGTTTGTGAAACCGTAATTAATTCTCGTTATTTTTTTACACTGCTATCATCTTTTTCGCTAGGACGAGGTAAGTGACATATTTAATTTGTTACGTTTTAATTTTAAAATTTTTGTTTTAAATTTAATATTAATTATAATGATAATATTTAACAAAAAAAATAATAATGTTTATTATAATATTAATCATAATTAATGTTAGTACTATATTCAATGAGTGAATGTCCAAAGAAGTAAAATTAAAAAAATGTCAAGATTTGATCGTAATGAGTGAATAAGTGAATGAATGAATGAACGATCTATTAAATGAATGAACGGTTAATTGAATAAATAAATGAATGAATGAATAAATGAACCAATGAAGCATAGACAAATGAATGAATGAATGAATGAACAAACGAACGAACGAATGAATGAATGAGTGACAAAAAAAAACTACACACGCCAAAGCTTAATTAGCTGAAAAAGAAAACTTATCATCATTCAATACACAAACAACAAACAAACACACAGTCACACATACAGACACATACAAACACACATACAGACACATATACACACACATACAAACAAACAAAAACACATAATTGGTATATACCAATAGTAATAACAAGCCAAGCATATTTCCCCCAACGGTACGTTTCATGAATTTATGATTAGTAATTTTTAATAGTGTTATTACTACCAATCGGTTATAAAAAAAAGTATACTACTACTACCACCACCACCACCACTACTACTACTACTACTACTACTACTACTACTACTACTGCTACTACTACTACACTACTACTACTACACTACTACTACTACTACTACTTCTACTACTACTACACTACTACTACTGATGCTAATGCTACTACTACTACTGCTAATGCTACTCCTACTGCTGCCGCTGCTGCTACTACTACTGCTACTAATATTAAATAATAATAATAATCACACACCACAATAACGTACGTAAGCTTGAAGGATTGTATTTGAACTGATAGTTTCTCACGATTTTCTAGTTTTTGTAAAATAAGAGTAGCTAATAATAATAATATAAATAATAATAATAATAATAATAATAATAATAATAATAGCAGCTAATAATAAAATCGTCTCATCGTTACGATCATATTAGTTAGATATTATATTAGATTATCATATTAGTCATCATCGTCGTCGTCATCGTCATCATCAGCTGCAGCTTCATTATACAGGCCATCATCTTATTAATTAACATAAAAATCGTCTTTGTCATCATTATTTGCGTAAGTATTAAAAAATATTTCATCAACGTCATCACGATCCTCGTTTTAATCATCATCATCAGCATTGACATTATCATCATCATCATCATCGTCGTCGTCGTCGTCTTTAACATTTTTAGAAAGCAGATGTTTAAATTTCTCAGCAGAAATTGATAGATTCGAACTACAAGACGTAAACTTAAATCTACATAAACCCATACACAGAAACACACACACGGAGAAAAACAAGCACACACCAACCTATCCATCCTTCCATTTATCCATCCACTTATACCAACAAAGAAACAAAGAAACAAACAGACATACATACAAACAAACAAACATACATTCATGCATACAATTTGTGAACGAAGCTTAGTTTCACCTGCCTGGATTTTGCGTGTGTGCTGCACTTATGTATGTGTGTATGTATGTTTGTTTGTACGTACGTACGTACGTACGTATGTATATATGTATGTTTGTATGTTTGTATGTATGTTTGTATGTATGTATGTATGCATGTGCGCTTAAACATTTGTTTGCATTTGAACTGTCAGCCAGCTCAGTATGAGATGGTTTTAACTCTATGCTCATTAAAATATTAATTTTAATGATACAAACATTAACCTACATACCTACATATAAACACATACAGACAGACACAAACATACATACACACATACACACACATACATATACATATCTACAATCATACACACACATACATGGCGCACACATACATACATACATTCATACTTACTAGATGTTGTCACAGCAATTAGCATGCTCCAGAGCTTCGAAATAGAAGAATTAAAAATTTCTATCTACACGTAAACTAATGCAAGATTAAATCAATAAATGAACAAATAAATACCACAAATAATGTTAACAATAAAATAAGAGTAGTATAAATTATGAATTAATAATAAAACTGCACGTTAAACAATGCATATTTATTATGAAGCTATAATTATTTTAATGATACAGAATTCCTTTCCCACATAGTTCGATCATTTAGGATAGGCTATATGGATGGATATCTCTAGCTAAAGGTTTTCATACTACAACAACTACTACTACTACTACTACTACTACTTCTACTACTACTACTACTACTTCTACTACTACTACTACTACTGTAATGCTACTACTACTTTTACTACTACCCTTACTATTACTACTACTACTATAATAATAATAATAATAATAATAATAATAAATTAATTTGCACAGGCCTGCAACAACAAAAATATCCGACATCAAAGACACCGATATAATAAACAACAACATCGTCATCGTCCTCATCAGAATCATTATCATCAGCGTCCTCCTCTTTATCTCATCATAATCATGACTTCTACATCGAATGATAATCATCACCATCATCAGCAGCATCGTCATCATCATGATGATGATCGTCATCTTGAAAAGACAGACGACGATGTTTCAATGGAAAATGCAAATGATGTTGGCGGTGATGATGGTGGTGGTGGTGAGGATTATGATGTTGTTGTCATTTTGCTTGATGACAATGTTGAAAACATTAGCAACAACAATAATAATAATAACAAGAATAATAATAATAATCAAATAAGAAAAATAATAAAGAAAAAGACACAACAACCCAGTCCGCCATTGTCAGCTCACATCATGGCGTTAGAATCGGAAAAAATTGATGGCAACAACCTCAACAACAACCCCAACAACAACCCCAACAACAACCCCAACTACAACAACAGCAACAACAACCCCAACAACAACAGCAACAACAACACACGCGATTTGATGATTAAACGTGAAAAGCAACGACAGCAACACCAACAACAGCAAAAATCACAGCAACGTCATCAACAACAACATGAAAAAAAACAAATCAGCATAACAGTTCTCAACAAAAACCCGGCAAAAAATGGCACCTTGAACAAAAACGGCCAACCGCCAGTTAGCGAAACTAGCTGGAAGCCGCACAAGTATTCAACTCTACCACTGCCAACGAAAAAAACATTAGCAACAGCAACAACATCGCCCAACAAACGCAACAACAACTCATTCAAATCAACAAATTCATCTGAAATATCAGACCTGGCCGAGGAAAAGATTTTCAAAGAACCCGTTTGGACATTTTCAGGGGCTAAGTTGGAACATTTCTGCAAAAATTTATTGAAAAAATCAAAAAAAGTGATCAGGAAAAAATCACGCTCTACTACTGACTTGAAATCTGCATCTAGTTTAAACAACAACAACAACAACATCAGCAGCAGCAGCAGCAACAACAACAATGCAGTTGCTTCAGCTATGAAAAAAGCAACTCTCAGCCGACCAACCAGTGAAAAACGACTGAGATTTGTGAATAACACATTATATGGAAGCTCAAAAAAAGAAGATGATGAGGAGGAAGATAACAATGATGATGGTGGTGATAATAAAATTGGTGACGAAAGGGTATTTAGACATGAAAATAAGCGTTGGAGCGATGTTGCTGACAGTTCAAACTCGAATAAAATTCCATCCGATAAAGGTGATAGAGATAAAGTTAAAATAAATGCTAAAAAAACCAACGGCCTAGATGAAAATAACTCAAGCAATCATTACATAACAGCGTACAGCAGCAACAAAAACCTGAATACAAAAGAACAACGTAGCAGCAACAACAATAACAACAACATTGACAGAGCACCGTCAAAATCTCAAATATCTCGGTTGTTTCGATCCAGGTCCGCCAGTACTGATAGAAGAAAATCTGCAGACGCTAACGGTATCAGTGTTGGCAACAAATTTAGCAACAATTTTGTTGGCGCTGATATTCAAGATGGCGGCGACAACAAAAACATCATTCAAAAGTTGGAGAGAGAGCCTAGAAGAAGGGATAGGTTTACGAGTTCCGCAATTGAAAACACCAACAACAGTAGCAACAAGTTTAACACAATTAGTGCAGTTAGCAATAGTGAGCCTAGCACTAACAAAAAACAACAACAACATTTATCTCCGCAAAAAATGACAAAATTAAAAACTGACAACAACCATAACAACAACAACAACAATGGATGCAAGAAAATGTGCTGTGCCGGAATTTGCTGCAGATCAGACAGTAACAGAATTAACAATTTAAATAACAACATACTTAACAACAACATCAACAACAACATCATCAACAACAACAGCTGCAACAACAACAACAACAACATCGATAACAAAGTTTTACCTATAACATCATGTAAAATTTCCAACACACAAACCCAGACATCGCCCGTTAACACGTCACCTGCTGACAAACAAGCACCTATACCAACATTAAGAACTAAACAAAAACAACAACGACAACAACAACATCAACATCAAAAACCACAACAACAACCACAACAACAATTAACTAAACCAAACACAAACACACAGGACCCATCATCGCCATACTCCTTCGATCACTCCACAATAACTGACTCCGGGTATTCCCTGACTACTAGTAACGATTACCACGATTTTGGTATCGATACGAATACCGCTGATACCGATACGAATTTCGAGAAATCGTCACCATGGTTTAAAAATGATGATATCTTAGATGATGGAAACTGTGCGATGGAAACAATCGAAAATGTAAAAAGTTACATGGACAAATCTGGCTTTCCTGGCAATGATTATTTGTTGAAAATAAACTCACAACAGCAACAAACTCAGCCACAACAACAACAAAAAGTAGCGACGTCATTGTCATCACTGCTGACGTCATCGTTGCCGACCAGTCAGAAGCGTTCAAAGAGTCATGTTAAGTTACCGTTAATTTTGAAGACAACGACGACGACGATAACAACAACGACGACGACAATTTATCCCAAACTTTCATCCTCCTCATCCGGAAATGGCGACGAAGACGAAGAAGATGATAAAAATCTTGGTGATGGTGGAGTAAACGATGATGAAGATGATGAAAAATATGAACGCAATCTTGAAATTGATGCGAGGGCCATTTTAAATGGAGAAAATCTGCCGGATTTCAAAGTGAAACCGCAAAATTTGACGGATTTGACAGATTCTAAGGATGGTATTAGTAACAACAACACCAACAATAACAGCACTATTGCCATCATCAACGTTGGCATAAACAAAATAAACAACAACATTGGCATAGACAAAATAAACAACAAAATTGGAAGCCCCATGCGGCAGTCCCGATCCAGAACCCCTAACCACCATCACCAAATCCACCACCAACTGCAGCAACATCACCACCAACAACACGAACAACAACTTCAGCAACAACTACAACAACAGCAGCAACAACAACCACAACATCTCAACATCCCGTCAGCATTCACAAGGGCCGAATATGAAAAGATAAAAAAGCGTGGTCGAAGCGTCGACATAATTCTTCCACGACGGTCCCAGCGCCGAAATCAGCAGCGCGATAGACGCAGGGTTTGCAGCATCAGTCAGGAACGCCAAATTGTGACGACAACAACCAGGACCGAAACGGACACTTACTTGGCACGAAAGTCAAAGAGCGAAAAAGTTACGGACAAAATGGCAACGGAGATGGATGAGGAGGAAGAGAAAGATAAAGAAACAAATAAGAAAGTTCCACCTATGAGAGTCGTGCGCGATAACTTTAAAAATGATGAAGTTAATGAAGTTGAGAAAAACAATATTTTTGGTATTACTGCTACTAACGATGATGACGTCACTGAAGCTATCAAGCCACAACAACGACAAAAAATACATAAATACAAAGAGCAATATCAGCTGCACAACGTCATTCTGACGACGGCAGCATCAGCGGACCTGCCTCTATCTGACAGCGACACTCAAATAATCATTGTTGATGGCGACAGTGCTACTTTTCTTGGCAGTGTTAGTCTACAAACTACGCCAACCAAACAGCAACAACAAAAACAAGAAATGAGTCAACAACAACAACAACAACAGCAGCAGTCTAAGAAACATGGACTAAGCAGTCTGAACAGACCTTTAGAAGTAGACGTAAGTGATGATGGTGATGAAAATGGTGATGGTGGTGATGGCAATCATGAACAGATTGATAGCAACAATCGAGACAATGTTGAAACAATTTGCAACATCATTAACTACGACAACGACGACAGAAACAACGACAACAACAAAGACAGCTGCAACAAAATTCGACCACCGAAAAATCCCGCCCTCTCATATTTCGACGGAACCAAGTGGTGTCCCCTCTCTTCCGATGATGGAGCCAGCGATGACGACTTCCGTTTCAAACCGGAAGTAAATGATCCAATGTCGATGGTGAAGCAACAATCCTATGAAGAACAACAAGCCGACGCTAATTTTCAACAACAACCGCTGACGCTGGAACAACAACAAATTGACCAGCCAATTAAAAATCCTCAAGCTAAAAAACAGCAGCCACAACAGCAAGAAATTCAACAACAACAGCATCAACAACAACAACACTTCAAACAACAGGACCCTCCCATTTCCACAACCCCCCAACACAAAAAGCAGCAGGAGCCGCAGGAGCCGCAGAAGCCGCCAAAAGAACTACATGAAGAAGAACCTCATCAAGAATATGAAGTCAGCGATTTTATATTATTCGAGCCGCTAACAACACTACCACAGCAACCACAACAACCTGCCGTAAAACACATAGTAGCCCATGAATATGGAGAACTCTACTCCATATTTCGGGAAATCCCACAGCCTATTTACATGCTGAAAGCGAAATTGCTCTCAAAGAATCTCAACGATAGCCCGATTTTCCAGCAGATGCTGCAGAATTTTCCGGAGTTGAGACCTGGCGGCTGGTCGTGGAACCAGTGGGGACAAAATAGACTGTTTCCTTCATTTCCCAAATCCCGTGATGAGGCCGACAATGATGGTGATGATGAAAACGAGGAGGACGAAGATGCTGATGACGACGATGATAATAATGATAGCAATGATAGAAATGATAATGTCAATGACATTAAAAACAATGAAGACGACGATGATGGCTGTTGTACCAACGGCATTAACAACGTCACTCAAAATAGCAAGTACCGAAACGGCATGGACAAATATTATGAAAATGACGGATGTGCCAAGTTTGCCAGCCGAGATAAAAATAAAAAAATTAATACCACTACTTCCGCTACTGCTACTACTGCTGCTGCTGCTGCCACTACAACTACTACTGCTACTACTGTTACTACAACAACTTCTAAGGAAGAAGTAAACAAAAGAGACACGCAAAGGAATCGGAATGTTACCTGTTATGCGTTTGAACCACAGATTGAACGATTTTGTCTGGAGACATTCTAGCCCAACGTTGTGTGTGTCTGTGTATGTATGTGTGTGTCTGTGTGTTTATTTATGAACAAATTGATTGATGTGTGTATTTTTTAAGTTTTTTCCAATATTTTATCAATATTTACAATTTATTATAAACGAATATGTGCCAGAACACTTTTGTTACGTATATATGAATGTTTTTGTTTATATTTTTTAAGCTTTTTCCAACATAGACATCAAATTTATGTTAGAAATCCATAGATAGATAGATAAATAAATATATATATATTGATATTATTTATTTTTTCGGGATATTCTCACACCTACACGAATGCATACTTCGTTTTCTTATTCTAGAACGTTTTCCCAGGCTTTGAATATTGATTTGTATATTTTAACTACTAAAAAAATTGTTGTGTGTTAGATTTAAAACGAAAAAATTTTGCGAAATCACACACACACCACATATACGCACACACACACATACCACACACACACCACATAATACACACACACATACATGTATGTAATCATAAAACACATGTCTACCTACCTATAATAAAAACATTTGTTATTTACATTAGGTTATCGAGCTAAATAAATGATAATTTTAGTTAGATGAACACGGCTCTAGCAATACGCGAGCTATCATCATCGTCATCTTCTTCATCATCCAGTTTATTATCATCATCTACATTTTCATCATTGTCATCATCTTCATCACCATCGCGCGATCGTGTGACGTCATCTTCCCCATCCGAGTGACATGCGTGATATTTGGTGGCCATTTTGAAATTAATTCTCAGACTCCAACCTCTCGCCACAACGGATAACCAAAAAAAAGATAGAAATAGTAACATTACTAGATAGTACTGCCAACAGTTGTAGAGTAGTAGTAGGAATTGTAGTAAAATTAGAGGTAGTAGTAGCAGCAGCTGCTGCAGTAGTAGCAGCAGTAGTAGCAGCTGCAGTAACAGTGGTAGTAGTAAAAGAGTGTACGTTGTTGCCGTTGTAGCAGGTAGGGCCTTGAAAACCACCAAATATATCAAACATATCTAGCAGATGGAGAAATTGTGGATAGAAAATAATTATAAAATAATTTAAAATATAATTAATAATTATAATTAATAATTATAATTAATGATTTTGATTATAGTTAAAATATCGACACACTTATCTATCGTTCGTTCACTCTGATGCTTTATCGGATGAAAATCTAGCGACGCCTCTGACATCTGGAGAAGAAAAATGTTTTTAATATATTTAATAAATTTAATTATTTTAAAAATAAATCAATAATGGTAAAATAATAAGAATAATAATGGTAATAATGATTACAATTAAAAAATTATTATTATTATATTTATGGCACTGACAGTATATAACAAAAACACTGGAATTCCAATAACTAAATTGTACATTTTCAAGCTTAGTAGGCCGTACACAACAAACTATCAGCTTAATTCGTTACGTCAGCCTCACATCCTAAAAACAGGGCAAATAATAAGAAGAATAATAAGTTTATTATGATTATTATTATCACCATCGTCGTCGTCATCATCATCATTATAGTTTGAAAGTGTCCAATCGATAGTAACATTGTTCCGATTACTGTCGCACTGTCATTGTATTTTTTTTTTAGATTTACCATCATCATCATCGTCGTCATCATCATCATCGTCGTCATCGGCAAAAACTGCAGTAACGATCGATTAGGAAGAGATCGATAAAGGAAACAATGGGTAAGTGAATGAATGAATGAATGAATGAATGAATGAATGAATGAATGAATGAATGAATGAATGAATGAATGAATGAATGAATGAATGAACGAATGAATGAATGAAAGAACGAATGAATGAATGAATGAACGAACGAACGAACGAACAAATGAATTAATGAATAAACGAACGAACGAACGAACGAAAGAACGAACGAACGAACGAAAGAACGAACGAACGAACGAACAAACGAACGAATAAACGAATGAACGAATGAATGAACGAACGAACGAATAAATGAATAAATGAACGAATGAATGACTGAACGCATAAGCGAAATGACTTTTTGACTCATCGAGCTTTGAACAAAGCAATAAAGTCACATCCATCGTTATCATCATCATCCTCATCATCGTCGTCGTCGTCATTGTTCATTGTCCTTATTACGATTGTTAATATTATTTTTTTATTGTTGTTGTTGTTTTTGTTGTTATTGATGTTGTTGTTGTTGTTATTGATTTTGTTTACTTAAAAATTGTGTTAGAATGAACAATTTGTGAACGCTGGCCTGCGACACAAGAATTTTGTTCTCTTTTAGCTTTGGTCTCCTAATCATTACCTAATTATTATTAATTTGGATTGATTGAATAAAATTTGATTTGATTTGTTGTTGCTGTTGTTGTTGTTGATGTTGTTGTTGATGTTGTTGTTGTTGTTGTTGTTGCTGCTGCTGCTGCTGTGACGTATCTTTTTGTTTTATGACGCAACAATAGACATTGTAGTTATTAGTATGATTAATCATTTGTTATTGCAAGCATTCTCTCTGACTTATTGTTAGCCTCATTGTCACTATTGTTGATGATGATGGTGTTGATGGTGTTGATTATGACGATGATGATGATGAAGATGATGATGAGGATGATGATGAAGATGACGACAACGACAATAGTAATAATAATAATAACAACAACCACAACAACAACCACAACAACAACATAATCACGTTCAAATATTGACAAATGATAAATAACCGCTAATAACATGGTGTGGTCGTAAAACGTACAATACACCACCACCATCATCATCACTATCATTATTATCATTGTTATTATTATTTATTATTATTACTATTATTATTATTATTATTATTATTATTATTATTATTATCGTCATCATCGTCATCATCGCCACTGCAATATAAAACCTCCACGCTGAGCGATTCAAAGCATTTTTTATCGACCCAAACAATTATTATTATTATTATTATTGTTGTTGTTGTTGTTATTATTATTGTTTTTGTTATTATTATTATTCATTAAAATTTTTATCGTTATTGTTTATCTTGTCGATGTTGTCTTTCGTCGGTGAAAAAGTGTGTGTTTGTGTGTGTGTGTGTGTGTGTGAATGTGTATGTGTGTGTGTGAATGTGTATGTATGTATGTGTGTGTGTGTGTGTATTTTGGTCTGGTCGTGAGGAGGAGAGGGGGCAAGGATGTTAGCATATGTTACTCAGCGGAATCATTCTAGAAGCGCCATTTCAATTAAAATCCTGTTCTGTATGCATGTTCGTTTGTTTTCGTTTGGTTTGTTTGTCTGTTTGTCTGTTTGCATTTTTGTTTGTTTGTTTGCATGTTTGTATGTATATCTGTATGTTTATTTTGTATAATTCCTATGTGTTGAATATATGTAGCCATGTATTGTATATATTTATGTATGTTTGTATGCATTGATCTTGTTGTATTTGTTTACTATCACTCTGGCCATCGTCGTCGTCATCACCATCATTATCGTCATCATCATCAACCGCAACAACAACAACAAGAACACCATCGCCAACATCATCATCACCAATTAATTAATCAATTATTTTTTATTGGAACTTAATTAATTAATTAAATAAATTAAAATATAGAAATGGAAAAATAGCAATAACTTGTGCATAATTTCAAAATTTTCAAATGAACGAACCTTTTTTTGCGAATTCCCAAGTCCGTAAGAGAGCAATGATTCCCAAATCCATAAGTTGATGACCACTTCTTGTTTCTCCATTTACTTTGTTAGTATATTTTACCACAAGGGGTAGACAAACTACGGTCTTCGTAGCCATTTTATGCGGTCTACGAAGCCTTGTTCGCCAAAAAAAGGTCTTCATCCAGAAATAATGACCAAAAACAGAGTCACAAATCTTAAAAAATTCTCCCCCGGGTCGAAAAAATTTGCTTTTTAAATACATATGCGGCCCTTCAAGGGTAAAATAGTTCTCAGCAGTGCGGCCCTCACTGCAAAAAGTTTGACTACCTCTGTTTTACACGGAGTTCATGGAATTTATTAGAATTTTTCTTTCATGGTCTGGTAAGGAAAGTCGGATTCCCAAAATCCCATTGGATCCGTTTGTTGGTAATATCCGAAATTGAATATAACATTTCTATGATCCTTTTAGTTTAGCAGTAGTATTTTTATTATACATTCCGGAGTTTAATTTTAAATCTATTCATTCATTTATTTATTTAAATTGTTAAAAATTTGAATAAAATTGCGTCAGTTTGTTTGTTTATACATTTTGGGAGGTACCAACAAAAAAGTTAGAGATTTCAGATTTAAAAACTTTTTAATCGATTGCGTTTATTTCATCAATTAATCCTTAATTCATACATTTATTCATTCATTAATTCATTATTTCATTCATTCATTCATCCATTTAATTATTTGCTCATCAATTCATAGACAACCAGCAAATCAATAATTCCAGATATTATATAATTTGTCCACATATCTTTTCAATTTTCTCTCTCTCTTTCTCTCTCTCTTCTCTCTTTCTCTCTCTCTTTTTCTGATTATATATATATATATATATATATATATTCCTCAATAATTGCATATATATATACATATATATATTCATCTTTTCAATTATTCTATCAATCCATCCATGTATTCATTCTTTTATCCATTTTTTATTCTTTCCATCTCAAACTCTTTCTCATCCATTCGTTCATTCATTCGTTTATCATTCCGACAACTCCATCCATCCATCTACCATTCAATGTTTATTAAAATATTTTATTTAGTGATCTAGCCAGACAACATACATAGGTCTGCAAACGCTTTCAAAACCTATTTATATATGAACGTCTGCTCTGTTTAAATACCTCTGTACGTGTATATACGCGGGATATATGTGTATATTTACGTACATACAAACATACATACAAACAAACATACAAACAAACATACATGCGTACATACATACATACATACATACATACATACATACATACATACATACATACATACATACATACATACATA